CCACATCATTATCTGAAGACACAAATTATGTTAGCAAATCTCAAAACACTTTTCAGAATGTAATCATTCCTAATCCATGCTGACATTATGTCGTTCCACATTCAAGTCAAATCCAATCTCATTGTTAGCAGTTCCAGTTCTAGTCAGGTTAGCAATACATTTGAGTTGATAATAGCCAAGTTTCCCGGGCTGATTTTTAGTCCCAGTCTGCCCCTGCATGTAATCAACATACACAAGCACAGCTGTAAGCTATGGCTAACACTCTGCTAGCTACATGGATGGCTAGCTAATGCCCCTTTCACACCAATGTGGTTCCAGGGCCGGTTCGGAGCTAGAGCCTGAAAAGCGTTGGTCTAAAAGCAAGAACCGCATACTTCACGTTTAGTAGGAGTGGGGCGAGATTAACCTGAGCTAACAGTTTAAGTATGGCAAATACAAGTTGTAACAAGCTGTAGCGCTGAGCAAAGTGACTAGAACGCAACCACACACTTATTTAAAAAAACACACTTTATAAAGTCAGGCAACACTAACCAGGCTTCGTGTGATTCTGTTTATTTGTACCTTACTTTGACCATCCGTTCATTGTTATTGATCATTGTGGAGAGAGGCAGACGTTTTGTTTTGTATTATAGCAGCTATCGGATGGAATCAATACATGGGCTGCACAGGTTGCCATGTCCGACCATCACAAGTAGAATGAACTACATTAATAAACAATGAACCACGGCACTCTGGAGAAAAGTGCAAGGTTGGAGAAGTAGTTATTTAATTTAATCTGGCTTCGTATGATTAAAAGTAACACGATCATCGACCCGACGCAGGCACCCATTGTTGTTGTTGTGAGCACCGTTGGGGAGAAAATCAGCTACGTAAACGGTGACGTCATGACGCAGCAGCGGCAGCACCAGTCGGGCTCTGGGCGGTGTGAACAAAAAGGGGGGGAAGAAAAACCGGTTTCGAATCAGAAGAGCTAGAACGGGAGCTGCGTTGGTGTGAAGGGGCATTTCATAACTTCGCACACGGCTGCTTCCCGCTAGTGATGGGAATTCCGGCTCTTCTTGGTGAGCCGGATCATTTGGCTCGGCTCACCAAAAAGAGCCGGCTCTTTCGGCTCCCAAACGGCTCTTCAGTTTACCACATATTATACCTTTTAATTAAATCAAATGTAGCCCTGTTTTGACCAATGATTTGTATGTGTACACACATATATCACTTAAATTATTCAATACATCCTTTGTACTGAAGTATTCAAAAGTAAAAATGACATGTTTAATATAAATGATTTGCTGTGGCCAAATGTTTTCATTGCATTTACAGACCCGTGTAACTCTCTGATACCACCGAATGAATGCACTGACTTGCTTGTCGAACTACGCTACACAAAACAGATGGCAACACCTATAAAAACTATTTAAAAAAAGGGGCTACTGTATCGACATATTAAAATTATATTTAAAGAAAAGGCCCTGACAAAACAGCAGGGCTCTATTTCAGTAACTATTAGCTATAGAAAAAAAGACAGCAACAGCTGACATCAAATCTTTGCTGAGCCGAAGGATAATCATAAATAAATAACATAGTGAAAATAAATATATTGCAATGCTCAAAACAGCAGCATCCAACCCTCTCTAATCCTTGGATATTACATGTCACCTGCATGCATGCACGGAGCAGCTGTAGCGCGGAGATCATCATCATCATTCTGTCTTGTATTACTTAAAGTGGACCTATCATGCTATATTTGAACAATATATTGTAGGGCCATATCTATATAAAGTATATGATTCTGTGAGCTGCAGCTGACCACACCCCCCTGCAGGAGCTGTACCTGTATCCCTCTCATCACAACACAACTCTACACTGTGCATCAGATATGTGTCTTTATTACAATTGAATGTAAATTGTCAATTTGAAAATATAGCAACATAAAACGAACAACTATGCACTGGGTTGTTTGTGAAACAGTACCATCGAAGATGTTTGCGGACTTGACATGTTATTGCTGTGAAAATAACAAATTGAATCCATAGAATACAGTTGTTCCATCATGACTTCTAGCCTATACGTACGTGTAAGCAATTATGTCTACCTTCCCACTCTTGCAGCATTAAGACCCAATAATATCAAATGCTTAACTGCCTAGGTTGCAACATTCACTTTTTGGTTGCCAAATGTCAGTTTAGTTTACATAAATGCACTTTTTGTTTTAACCTACATTACTGTTGTAGAAGGAAAAACAACAGTGAAAGTTATATTTCAGAAACAACTTTATTGGAAACGTTTTTTCAACATTCAAACATTTATTGTCATTACATGACATGTCATTTAGCTGACGCTTTTATCCAAAGCGACTTACAATAAGTGCGTTCGACCAAGAAGATACAAAGTGAAGAAAACAGAATCATATAAGTACATCAGGTTTCATAGAGCTAAAACATTTCAAGTGCTACTCAACTGGCTTTAGATAAGCCAGTCCTTTATTAGTATATAAGTGCTTTGTTGGTAATTCTATTGCTCGAAGTGGAGTCGAAAGAGATTTCTGCGGTCCTGATTTCAATGGGGAGCACATTCCACCATTTGTCATGTCAGTATGTTAGATTCCATTCCAAATGATATAACAGTGGGTGTACAGGTGTGTATGTCCACACAAATCTATGTACATTTCTTTAAATATATATATAAGTTGTCTTTGAAAAACGTAATACTTTAACTTTAAGTGTGCAATGACAACAGCCTGGACCACATGTGAACATAAACAAGGAATGTGTGTGTGTGTGTGTGTTTGTGTTTATAAAGTGCAGCTTTTGCAGTAATAGTCCAGGGAGATAGAGGGCTGCCCAACACATGTTGTGTGGTACCATTTGGTACAGCCGGTGCACTCAATCTGAAAAGAAACAGAAATAATACATGTTAGAACATGGCCACATTTTTTTTAGATTAACATCACTCATCCAGAGTACGCTTTACAATCACTCTGTTAACATTTAACTAAATAAGCAATGTATAGGTTTGGATCTTATCTGTGGTTCTTTCTGTGTAGAGTCCGTGCTCAGAGGTTCCTTCCACTGCACCAGTGTTCTCCCATAGTGCAAAGACATGCAAGTTTGGTGAATTAAAGTAAAAATGTTCAATATCTGTTATAGTGTTCACACGGTGATGTTGAGGTAACCTATCCAGGGTGTATCCCAGTCTTCCAGCCAAATGGTGGTCATGAAATTAATACAACGTCTTACCCATTGGTCAACCTTGGTGAACCCTGAACTAAGTTCCCCACAGGCCCGACACAGCTGGGATAGGTCATCTGTAAAAAACAAATACCGGCATAAATGTAGTGAAATGGAAAAAATACAGGATATTTCGGTTTCTCTGGTTTAGTCCTGTATACCGGAATTTTTCACCAGGGACATTGCCATGTCGAACCTCATTGAGGCCACACCCGCCTGGTCAACAGGGTACTGGACCTTCTGGTCCAATAGTATTTGCTCTGCAAGCTAACAAAGTCTGAGATAAGTATCTTCGTATTATGGTTTGATGACAGATGGTTATATATACACACATTCATAAATGTTACCTTGCAAATCAACACACCGCATGATGTCATGTCCTGCTGTTTGGGATGATCCATGCTGTCGCATGCCCATCTCCCAACAGCTGGGTTTGTCTTGCGGACCAGCGATCTACACAGGGAACACATACATTATGTTTTGGACATACAATCCTTTTTACGTCAAGAACAGCTGAATGTTCACACAGGACAATCTTATATTATTGAAGTAAAACAGCAGTAATCAGGAACATCATTGATGTGGCTTTGTGTTGCTTCCTTAGTATAATCCCACATCCTGAATGCATGAATATATCTACTAAAGACATTACAGCTGATACTTGATTTACCGTGTTAGGTCTTTGCAGCGGCTTATCTGTTCTTTGGTGGCCCCAAATGGGTCCAAGAAAAGGGACCTGTTTTCCCTCAGATACATGATCTGTGGAAGTGCAACAAATTAAACAAAGTGTCAAGTGTTAAATAAACAAGTGTTGAATAAAAAGAAATATCTTGAACCATTAACATTTTAGATTACTTACAATGAGGGTCCAGTGTGCCCTGTGACAGACGGCTCCAGCTGCCACATTGTGTTTTGTCAGGTCCAACTGAAAAATATTTGTACATACATATGTACATACACTTATTTCTAGTCCTACTCTACTCACCTTTCTTAAACCGCCTTTGTGTTTTCCCTGCCAGAGGGAAGTGATGAGGTAGGAGTCGAAAATGAAAGCCCCAGCTTTTACACCCACCCATGATAAATAGGCATTGATAATCTATAAATACAACAGATGTTTTTATCCCATTTGATAAAGAATTATCACTTTGCATATGTACTTTTGTCTTATAAAGTAGGCTTACCTCTCCCTCCAACTGCTGTCCTGGGGCCAAGACCATGAGGTTCTCGCTGTAAACATTGTATGGGCCATACTTGGCCCATAGCGTCTCCTTCCTCCTCCCTGCCCATATGTCTCGGATTACTGTAAAAAAAAAAAAAGATAACGCATGTTAGTTATTAAGGAAATGCATACTTTGAGGTGTACTTTGTGTCAGTTTACTTACAAGTCTCCACCTCAGAAGATGCTCCTTCTGCCTGACTTGATGGAGCCAGGGTTTGGGAGGGTGTGGAGGGTGTGGAGGTGGAGGTCAGTGGATCAGCCAGAGGAGAAGGATCCAACAATTTTTTCAATTTAGCAGGGATCCTCTCCTCTGGCTGGACATAGTGTGCGAGGTGGTCAATGTTGACTTTCATCTTATTGTTTCCCTTTTCTGAAACTATTTCAGCAACTTTCCCCTCAATGTCCACAACCCAGTAAGGTCCCTGCATTTCCACCTCTAGTTTCCCACCTTTTCTTTGCTCCAACCTTTTGTTTCTTTTTAAAACCAAGTCCCCCACTTGGAAGTTGTCCGCTTGCCCTTTCTCCAGTTTCCTCTTGCGGCTCTCTTGGCTTTTTTAAATGTTTTTCTTTACAAGCGTGAAAACGGCCTCCTGTTTTTGAAGTCCCTTCCAGACATCTTCCCTTTCCACCATCCTTTTCACTTTGTCTTCTGTTATCTGCCACAGAAAACAGTTAGAATGTAGAGGACATACATGTTTGAAATAAAAATAATGCTACAGGATAAGCGATTAACCGGATCTTACTTTGTACTCCTTGGGCACCTCTGATGGGTACCTCGCCTCCCTCCCAAACATCAGAAAATAGGGACTGAACTTTGTAGTCAGCTGAGTTTTGGTTCTCAGAGTGAACATGGTGGGCTGCAGGAATTGGTCCCAACGCTTGGGCTCACCCGCCACCAGTTTGTTCAGGGACCTAAATTCAGGTAAAGTACAGACACAATCAGGTAGAAGACAACATTGTTTCAAATATATGATAAAGCAACCCATTTATTTACTCTTGTTTTATTTAGGTATAATTTGTGATTACTGTTAATGTAGGAAAATCTTTTTATGTATATTAATTAACATACCTCTGTATTGTTCCATTTAATTTTTCCACGAGCCCATTTGTCTGTGGATGATACGGGGAACACAGGCTTCTTTCGATTCCCAGCCTCTCACAAAGGTTATAGTTCACCTTGAAGGAAACATTGGGACAAAAATGAAACGATGAAATGCATCTCCTGCTGAAAATGCCTGTGAATGCTGTAAACTGCGAGAATATGTTGGTGAATTTTGCATTCACACTAAAAAGTTAGCACAGAAATGTTACATAATAGGGAGTGATAATGCTTCAACGGTATACCTTATTACAGAATTCCCGCCTTGATCTGTTAGCAGTCTTTGAGGTGCACCAAATTTGTAAAATAAATCAAGAATACACTTGGTCACCTCATCTGCTGTTTTGCTTTTAAGTGGGTATGCCTCTGCCCATTTGGTGAAATAATCAACCATGACACAAATGTATTGATTGCCACCATCTGTTAGTGTGAGTTTACCCACTAGGTCCATCCCAACAAGCTCCTGAGGCTCTGTTACCTGAGAAGAAGAAAACATTTGCATTTCAGTAAACCACAGTTCACATGTTCCAAAGCTGAAACTGGCTGGAATTGTTTCCTTGTACCTCAATGGGAGTGTACTCCCTCTTTTCTTTGATGCTTGCCCTCTTTGATTGGCACTGGGGACACTCAGAAATCTGGAAAAGAAAAAAAAACACACCATAAACTTTTTTGTGCTCCACTTATGTACCATAATGTGTAATTTACCTCATTATTTTATAACTCACCCACTTGCGGATGTCATCCACCATACCAGGCCAATAAAATCTTTTCATGATGGCACCATGTGTTTTCTCTACACCAAAATGTCCTCCCAATTGGCTGCAGTGAAACTCTTTAAACAGCTTGTCAGCTTCTTCTGAGGATAGCACCACTTTGGCGAGGTGCTCAGCCATGTCCTTTTTTCTTCTGCATATGTAATGCAGTTATCCATCTGGTATTGAAATGTCATTATATATTCATTGAGAGTATTATCATAGCACACGATGTTCTGAAGTCCACACACTCTTACCTTTAATCCTGAAGGTCTCAGCTCTTCTCTTGATCACAAACCTCTGATGGCTTGATAAGCCTTCAGGAAAAACGTTCTGGAGTTTTACATCCATCAGCTCTTTCACAAGTCTTGGGTCCATTTTTGTTGGATCCACTCACTCCTATGTAACCCTAGTACTACGCTCTCCCTCAAACACACACACAGGCAAACAACAATCACTCACTTAATTAAACACACAATACAATTTCACTCACAAGGACCAACACTCTATCACATTCAGTACTCACTCACGCACGTTCTGATCTTTTTCTATCTAATTTATAACTAACTGTTTTCTCTCGCTGTCTATAATCTCTCGCTGTCTCTAATCTCTCGCTGTCTCTAATCTCTCTGTCTCTAACCTCTCTCTACTCACAAACCCACAAAGTTCTGACAAGTCCAGTGGTTTATATAGCCTAGACAATCCAGGTCATTATAATGTAGCTCTACAGCTGTTGTACTTGTAGAGTGTAAGCCATGGTAGGGAAACAGGTTTGATCCAGATCCTAGATGACCAATTACATTGATTGCAGATTGCTTTCTGCTTTCTGCTCACATGTAAGAAGTGAAACATGTCTGTGCACACACACAGAATTCAGGGTTTTATATGTTGTTAGTGTAAGCCAAAAATAAATATGTATATATTAATAAGTATGGGTATATTTATATATATATAGGGCTACGGTACAATAGTTATTGTGTGTATATGTGTGTGTGTGTATATATATATATATATATATATATATATATATATATACAATAACTATTGTACCGTATATTCATTCTGGATTTAGGCTACTTTTCTGTGGTTTACCGGATTAGCCATGGAATATTGTTTTAACATATAACATACATGAAATAACACATGTTATTTCATGTAAGTTATTTTTTTCTGCACAGTGTAGAGTTGTGTTGTGATGCAACCCAGTCTCACGGCATTTCGTGTTCACCAACACGATTTTTAATCTATTGATTCGTGTTCCCCAACACGATTTGCCCCTTTTTTTCGTGTTGCACAGCACGATTTTAAAAGCAATGTATTTCTACTGCTTGCAGCACGTCTTTTTCTCCGGTCGGGTCGAGGAAGACCGGAAGCTGTGTGGTTCATAAAAACATGTTCTTACTCAATATCAAGCCACAATTATTGCTTTTATTTTAAATCGTATAATTTCGGACTTTTGTTGCCGTCTGTGAGGAAAATAAATGGGGCTCAGAGCCTCAGAATACTGAAATCTGTATTTTTAAAATATTTTTTTCCTTCTAATTTGTTATTCTTTTCAAAATAACACACTGTTATTTACTCACCAATAACACACAATTATCCTTGCTTTTATTTATTGGTTTAATTCCATAATCTCGGGCTTTTTTGGCGTCCGTCAGGAACTGAATTTCAAAATAAAAATAACCGGACATAGGCATTACCCAAGATCCTCAGCTATGGTTTTAAGCTTGCTTATTGGATGTTTTAGCCGCAATGCATGCTGGGATTTGGTGTTTATATGATATGAAATCCGGAAAACATTTGTGTACCTTGTGTGCATCTAGTGGTTAAAGCATGTTATTGAATTATTGTGTTTGATTAAAAAAATATTAAGAGTACATACTTTCATAGGGGGAAAGTATAAATATAGAAATATAGAATATAAAAAATCAAGAAGATACTATAAAGTGATCTCTACAATAAAACAGTTTAGTGCAGCATGTACAAAGATATTAATAGGAGGAGGTGCAAAACAGAAAAACAAATTAACCTTTATTTAAACATTAAATAACAGATTAAGGTCTTCTCTTAAATAAGAAAAAAACGTTGGGGGTATCTATCTACAGATAAATATTAAGCCTGACAAAGTACTTAACGTCTAATATATTGCTTTCCTGCCATGTTAACTATGTTGAAGCACTTATTTTAACTGATATTATACATATGAATTATACTCTTATGTAGATAGAATAAGAAATGTGCAGAATATGACAGTTTAATGGTGGAGGTTCACACATATTGATAGATGTCTTGTAATGCACTGTTGAGGAACCTGTGACCCAAGTGTTTCATTCATTGCATAACTACACCGTAGTTGTGTATATGATATGTCAATAAACCTTTGAAAATCTTGAAAAGGATGTGCAAAATAGCCATTATATACAGTCTTTAATTAACTATTAGTAGAGAATAACGAGTAATGAATATACTTTATTACTCGTTTCCATTCATGTCAATTGCAGATACATGTTTAGTCTTCTCAAGCACCAACTATCAAATATCTCTCCTGATTGTTGGCACTTGACAATCACCTTACCTGAATTTTACTCAGGTGTAACTAAAGTCTGATTTAAGGATTGTTTATATTTCACATAATGAATCAGAATCTGCAAAGTAACTCAAATAAATGCAGTGGAGTAAAAATACCAGGTTAACCTCTGAATTGTAGTGGAGTAGAATTACAAAGTAACAATGAGCTGTCATGTGGGTATATATAGCAATTTTCACCCATTTATTAATTATAATAAATAATATATAATAGTTTTACATTTGATAACGGCAATGTGTTTAATACTGGCAACTTCTAATTGTGGGAAAAATGAAAACGTTCAGTAGAGACGTCCCATAGAACATTTGGCGAAACACAATAGCCAGCATGTGTAGTTCTGGGGGGGGCGTTCTATTCCAGTTTTGGATAGTCTGGCGTGGTTTTGTTCCATTTCACACAGCTGTTTGACGCTCTGCGTAACCTTACGGGGGACTGTAGTCCTAAACGATAGCTGGGGATTATGGGTAGTGTAGTGTCTTCGGCCATCCTAAACTCAGAAAGGTTGACAATCGCAATGACGCTCGAAATGTCCCTTATAGGCCTACGTCTGTTTCCGGATATTTTATTTTGAAATTCAGTCCCTGATGGACGCCAAAAAAGCCCGAGATTATGGAATTAAACCAATAAATAAAAGCAAGGATAATTGTGTGTTATTGGTGAGTAAATAACAGTGTGTTATTTTGAAAAGAATAACAAATTAGAAGGAAAAAAATATTTAAAAATACAGATTTCCGTATTCTGAGGCTCTGAGCCCCATTTATTTTCCTCACAGACGGCAACAAAAGTCCGAAATTATACGATTTAAAATAAAAGCAATAATTGTGGCTTGATATTGAGTAAGAACCTGTTTTTATGAACCACACAGCTTCAGGTCTTTCTCGACCCGACCGGAGAAAAAGACGTGCTGCAGGCAATAGAAATACATTGCTTTTAAAATCGTGCTGTGCAACACGAAGACAAATCGTGCTGTGCAACACGAAAAAAAGGGGCAAATCGTGTTGGGGAACACGAATCAATAGATTAAAAATCGTGTTGGTGAACACGAAATGCCGTGAGACTGGGTTGTGTGATGAGAGGGATACAGGTATTTAATAAAAAACATTGATCGCTTGAGAATGGCTGGAGAAGTTATATCACCATTTATTCGGAGCGGATCACAGCTTGCCATCTCCAGGCTGCTTTCGGGCTGTGAGTAAACAACTTGTGTTTCACATAGAGGCGGTCTGAAGGTATGGACAGCGATCAAAGCTACTATACATCACATTCAGAACGATGTACAACTGAAACTCTGACAAAAATATATTGTTAAAATGATTTATTAAAGTTCGCAATGTTTTGCACAGGCATCCCCACAGTCACCTACTTTGTCATGTTCTAGTCGTCACTGTAAGCTTCACGATATCAGCTTCTCACCCACAACCTCACATACGCGTACTGAACGTGCATCAAAGTCGTCCTATTCAGTCAGATATACCAAAAGATGAATTTGAACAACACGCGAAGCGATCGAGATGTTTCTTTCCCGGTGAGTCAACAATGGGTCCTCAAGGTACACGCCCCAATACATCTGTCAAAAATAATAGAATCTCACCAGTTGTTCGGGCCACAATTTGTTCGGTAACACCGGCAACGGAGGCAGAAGTCTAAAATAAGTTAAAATTAAAAACAATGTGCAGGGCAGTAGTCCAATTCGAAAGTTTTGCAAGAACGAATGTTAGCTGCAGTAGCGTGGCGTGGGAAAAAAATTAGGGGAAGCCAATAATACGTCCTTTCTTTTGGGTCGGGGGTGTGGTGGTCAATGTAATAACGTAACCAGATGAGTGATTACAGCACCCGGTATCATTTTTACACACATTTGTATCAGATGCAGGACTTACACACGCCTGTTATCTAACCGACAGGTCCGCACGCACTCTCCAGCCCAAACTCTAATAAGCATTCATTCACAAACTAAATCAGGAGACCTTTAACGTTTTACGTCCGATTCGCTCCTTTTTTCCTCGCTGTGCACAGCTCCAGTTTGGGCATCGGCCTGTCATCAGATTTTATTTGGTGTTGCTGCTGTAGCGGAAGTTTAGTACAATTATTTTTGATTAAATACTCCAAATCTCCACCCTCCATAATTGCACTTGCTTCAGTTGCTTGCTACTTTCTAACGGCGGTGAGAGTGGTGCAGTGGCGCTATCTATCTTCTATCGATTAGATCTATGATTCTGAGGGTAGACATGTGTATATTATCCGACTGAACAAAACTTGCATTTATCTAACAGTTTCGTTTTCCACTGACCTTATTTCGAGCTATTTTCCTAAATCCTATGGAGAAATTCCATTGCTTTTTTGTCGAGGGAAACCGAGCGCAGCTTACTTCCGGATTTTAGGATGCGTCACTGCAACACTAAATTGATGCGATTTGATTGGATTGTGAGGCAAAACAAAACAAAGTGTTTTTATTTATTTATTTAAATTATAACTACAATCTGAAAAAACAGGGGAAGCCTGGCTTCCCTTGGCCTCCGGGAGAAAACGCCACTGGTTAGCTGAGGGTGATGGAGGGTAACAGAGGCGGAGAAGCGGCGAACAGTCAACGCCAGCGTCCTCTCCGGCGGGAAAGTCCGATTGCCTAGTTTAAAAGATAAGCCTTGTTTTAAGGTCAAATGGATCAACGACTATAAAGGTATGTTAGCAATATGTTATTCCCTATAGTTGTTAATTCTCACTGTTCAACAGTTCATGTAAAACATCCTGGCCACGGCTGTACAGAGGGCAATATAAGTTTCATTCACTCTTACATGCACACAACACACTATGATCAAGGTTATTAAAGATAAAGCAGTTTTTTTCCCACAGTGTTAGCTGCCTTAATCTGTGTTTTTTTAGTGTCGGATCAACTTCTAATTATTATTGGCACTGATTATTTTACTTTGTTTAATCAGGACGTGGCATATTTTCATGTGCACCAATTGAAAAGGGATCCTTTGTTGTCGAGTACCGTGGGGAGTTGATATCACAATATGAACGTGACAAGAGGCAGGAGAAATACACTGAAATCCAAAATACTTTCTTCTTTGATTTTGAATGGAACAATGACACATAGTGGTAAGTAAAGGCCTATAAAAGATTACATATTTTGAAGGATTAAATCACATTTTTGTTGAGATATGTTTTCTTCTTTGATTTTAGCATTGATGCATCCTGTGAAGATGGTGCTCTGATAAATGATGACCACAGGTCCCCAAACTGCAAAATAAAAAAGTTGACAGTCCAGGGTAAACCTCATCTTTGCGTGTTTGCTATTGAAAACATCCAAGCAGGATGTGAAATTACCTACGATTATGGAAAGTCTCACTGGCCATGGCGGGCTCTGGTAAGTAAATGAATCTCAATATATTAAATGATATAGGATCTGTTAACCCTTGTGTTGTGTTCGAAAGCTGTTACCGTTCATGATGCTCGCGGGTCAATTTTGACCCATGATTTATCTCGTTCCAAAACGCTATCAATGACTATCATCCAATATTGTTTTAACTACATCATAACTAACTTATAATGCATTCATAACCGTACAATTCTGTTGTAATTTAATTGTATGGCCCCAAAACACATTACACCACATATTGTACATGCAACATAGTCTCACGGCATTTCGTGTTATAGTCACCAAATTAATCTACTGATTCGTGTTCATCAACACGATTTCCCCATGTTTTTCGTGTCACACAGAACCATTTTCAAAGCAATGTAAATAATAACAAATTAGAAGGAAAAACAGATTAAAAAAAATACAGATTTCAGTATTCTGACACAAAACTATTTTAGAAGCAATGTATTTATATTGGTAGTATGTTTCGTGCCTGCACGTCCCCATATGGTACAACCAAACGAGTGTAGAGTGTGTGTGTTACATCGTCCTCATATTGTTGGGTTGAGTTCAAACTACTTCTATAGTTTTGACTTACAAGCCCAGATCCTCATGTGAATTGTTTTACTAAAATCTGTGTCCCCTACATGAAAAGTCAATGGATTTCTTACTGGTTATTGTTGTATTTTAAATTGCAGACACAGAGTGACATGATCGCGGCTCAGCCTTTAGCTGACTCTGAAGCGAGCCTGAGATCCACCTCATCCTTCCTACAGGTAATTAAACATTTACTGTAGATTGATTCTATACAAGGTAAATTCATGTCTCAGTCAAGTACAATGGAAAAATAGAATGCCTTTTTTTACCTAATTAAAATTAATAGGTTGTTTAAAACATTTAGAATGTCAATAAAACTGTTAATTGTTTCTAAAAAAACATTGTGGAAATATATACCCCTACCATTTGATAGCAGTAAAGAAAGAAAATTATCTTTATTGCCCCTTCATTCTATGTATTTTCTCCTTTTGCCAATGTATTTGCATATTTAACCTAATGTGTATCAGTTTAGATGATTTCATTAATAGGGAAGTAGATCCATACTTATTGCGATGGCAATTTCAGTTTTTTTTAACAACAACAGCACACCTCAGAAGTCAGGAACACTGACTTTGTTTAACTTCAGTCGTCATGTCCTCATTTTGTTTTAGGTTTTGTAGTCTTGATGTGTTTCAGAGAATGTCCCCATATGGTACGACCCAACGAGTGTAGAGTGTGTGTGTTACATCGTCCTCATATTGTTGGGTAGCAGATATTGTACAGTTCAAACTACTTCTATAGTTTTGACTTACAAGCCCAGATCCTCATGTGAATTGTTTTTACTAAAATCTGTGTCCCCTACATGAAAAGTCAATGGATTTCTGACACGTTATTGTTGTATTTTTAATTTGCAGATACAGAGTGACATGATCATGGCTCAGCCTTTAGCCGACTCTGAAGCGAGCCTGAGATCCACCTCATCCTTCCTACAGGTAATTAAACATTTACTGTAGACTATATCTATCCAAGGAAAATTCATGTCTCAGTCAAGTACAATGCAACTTAAGTGCCTTTTTGTTTTACCTAATTAAAATTAATAGGTTTTTTAAACCATTTAAAATGTCAATATAACTGTTAATTGTTTCTAAAGACCATAGTGGAAATATATGCCATTGATAGCAGTAACTACCTCTTATAACAAGTCAAATTATCTTTATTGCCCATAAATTGTGTTTTTTCTCCTTTGGTTCTCCCATGTGCCAACTTAACCTAATGTGTATCAGTTTACATGATTTAATTAATAGGGAAGTAGATCCATACTTATTGCGATGGGGATTTCAGTTTTTTTAACAACAACAGCACACCTCAGAAGTCAGGAACACTGACTTTATGTATCTTCAGTCGTCATGTCCTCATTTTGTTTTACATTACATGTCACTTGTTAGACGCTTTTATCCAAAGCGACTTACATACTCAATACTGTGGGCAATCCCCACAGGAGCAATTTGGGGTGAAGTGTCTCAGGGACACAACGACATGCTGACTGCAGTGGGGTTTGAACCTGTGACCTCCTGATCCGAATACCAACTCACAACCCACTGCACTACATGCCTACCCGTTTTAGGTTGGGTAGTCCTGATGTGTTTCAGAGAACGTCCCCATATGGTACGACCCAATGAGTGTAGAGTGTGTGTGTTACATCGTCCTCATATTGTTGGGTAGCAGATATCGTACAGTTCAAACTATTTCTATAGAGTCTAGAGTTGCAAGCCCAGATCCTCATGTGAATTGTTTTTACTAAAATCTGTGTCCCCTACATGAAAAGTTAATGGATTTCTTACTGGTTATTGTTGTATTTTAAATTGCAGACACAGAGTGACATGATCGCGGCTCAGCCTTTAGCTGACTGATGCGAGCCAGAGATCCATCTCATCCTTCCTACAGGTAATTAAATATTTAACGTAAATTCATGTCGCAATGCAGTCCAATGCATAAATAAAATGCCTTCTCCTTTTTTTATTTTGAAAGGAAATTATCCTTTACCTCTCAAAACGTCAAATTAATCAATCAAATCTAAACATTTCAAATAGGATCAATCTTAGAAAAATGTAAGCTTCATCTCATTATACGACCCAAATGTTGTTACGTTTATGTTAAATGGTCCTCATTGTTGTGTCAAGTATACAACAGTGCTATTCAATTATTTGAATATTGTATCATAATTTCCATATACAGTTCTTTGTCATTTCAAACAAATATGCTTCTTCATCCTTTCATTTCAGACCAGCAAGTCCAATGGAATTGTACCCTTCCACAAGGTACCTACTGCAGAGCAGGTAAGACAGCTGCTTTACCTCCGTTAGTTGAAATAGTTCCTGTCCTTGTCAACAACTGGTGATATTTACTGTGTGGGGATACATTATAGAATTTAAAGTAAGGCTAAGGTTGTTTTTTATTTGGACAGCTTAGAGCAGGGGTGGGGAACCTCCGGCCCCCGGGCCGTATAAGGCCCGCGAGACCATTTGGTTTGGCCCTCGAGGTCATTTATAAACACACGCAAAAAAGAGACAAATTAAAGAAATCTAGACCGCAAAATAATTAAACAAGCCAGTGCCTGTTTTTCCTGGCAACGGTCATGGTCCTTGAACACAACATGAGCCTAACGTGTCATCACGTGGTATATGTCTCGTCTGACAGGGGTGCAATTCTGACGGAGAGCACCAGAACGCCGCTCCGGGACTTCAAAAAATTACAGTACCCATAAGTCCGTACACATCCTGCAGTTTTTGCGTGGCTGTGTCTTAGTTGTAAGCCCAGTGGCGATCTGTCATACTGATCATACAGTCAATAACGTTGTTGTTATTAGCATCTGGTTAGCTAGCTATGCTAACGAATATAAGAAGCTTTTTCTCCAACCAGTGAGGGGAAGGCACCTCTTTATATGATCATTATAGTTATCAAAAAACAAGAGAATAAAGTAAACAGGTATAAAATACTATATGACAGTAAAAAAAAAGTTGTTATTAATAAACAAGAATACAGTTTGAAAGGAGAGTGATTTGTAAAATATCCATAAAGAAAAAGTAAATCTGCTTCCAGTTCTGTTCCATATGGGTGTTGAGAGATGTTTCCATAGATCTCTTCATGTTGCTCTCAAAGTGCACCAGATTGATGCTTTCAACTTCAATATTTAAAAATAAATCTTCCCGGGGGAGCTTGCCCCCCTGGACCGCCCTAGAGGAGGTTAGGTCCCCCCCCCCCCCCCCCCCACCACACTTAAATCATGCCCACATGGATAGGAAACTATATACATTTGCACACATCTTGTGTCCATATCTTTCTGTTTGGTGATCATGCCACAACCGTGCACGTGCATGCATGCGCGAGTCATGGCAAGATATCTGGATTAAGAGGTTGCTTTTTATTTGCACAGCATGAAAGAAAGGCCAAATGAATGGGCTGTGATTTTTAAGCAGAGGTCAATAATTTGTGCGGCCCTCGAAGGATGTTGAAAACATTGAAATGGCCCTTGAGAGGAAAAAGGTTCCCCACCCCTGGCTTAGAGCAACCCGTCATCCTCAAAATCTGAAGCGGCATCATGGTCAGTGTGATGATCGATATCATGAGGCTGAAAAAAAGATAACTGAGAAAGAGAGACAACGGACTTTGAGTCTGAGATGCAGAATGAATGTTGATGATGGTCGATTTCATGATGGAAATCCTGATGAGAATATTTGTTTTTTTCCCAGATGTCTAATGACATTGATGAATCTTCAGATGCTACAGACTACGATGATGCTGACTTTGTTCCAGAGTCAAGTTGGAATTCCTCAGACTCAAGTTCTTCTATTAAGGGACTCAAAATCAAAGAAAATCATCTTACCCACAAAGTGAAAAAGTCATTGGGGATCAGTACAGGACAAAGTGGGGATAGTACCACATGTTCAGTGAAACCAAGTTCTTCAAGGATGAGTGGCGGTAATTCTAGTACAGTGACAAGTAGTAGTTCACATTTTTCAGAAAAGACATCACCCAAGAAAAGCTCCATAAATGTCACAGCATTACCAAACACTACAAAACAAAAGTACAACAAGAAGCAATATTGTCTGTATTGTAAAAAGGCAATTTCTAAATTGGCAAGACACCTCGAATCCGCCCACAGTGAACAGCATGATGTTGCAAAGGCTTTCAGTTTTAATAAAAGATCCCGTGAAAGAAGACAGATGTTGCGCTCCCTTAAGAAGAGGGGAAACTTTCACCATAATGCTACCGTTGCAAGCTGTGGTGCTGGAGAAATGGTTGCTTGTCGAAGACCTTCTAAAGAGAAACAATCTGATGACTACCGTCACTGCAAGTTTTGTCAGGGACTCTATGCAAGAGATTGCCTATGGAGACATGTTAAAAACTGCCCTCAGAAGCCTGATGAGGGAGAGCCTCAAGGTGGGCGAAAACGGATCCACCTTGATCTACCAAAACCTGATTCAGTTCAGGAAGCAGTTTGGAAGATTGCCTGTGAAATGAACCAGGATGACATTTCCTCGGTTGTAAGGAGTGAAAGTGACATCCTTAGTCTCGGTGAGTCCCTTTACAATGCAAGGAAACCACACGAGAAAATAAATGATTACATTCGCCAAAAAATGAGAGAGATGGCAAGACTTTTACAGCAAGAGCAATAGGTCCTTTGAAAAGAGCCGAAGATCTTGTTATGCCCAGTAACTTTCCCCACATGATACGAGCTGTTAGAGAGGTTGCTGGTTATGAGTTGGGAAGCAACTCATATACAATTCCATCTTTGGCTCTTAAATTGGGGCACAGTTTGGCCAAACTTGCAGGCATTGTGCAATGCAATGCTATCATTGCAAATCGCCATGCTGTTGCAGAGTCTGCCAAGCAATTTGCCATTCTTTACGAGAAAAGATGGACAGAGTCCATTTCAGGTGCTGCATTAGGTACACTTCAACAGGCCAAATGGAATAAACCACAAGTGTTGCCCTTTACAAGTGATGTGTGTCTGCTGCACACGTTACTATCTACTGAGCGTGCTCAGTGCATGAAGGACCTTGCGGAAGAACCGAATAGCCAAAGCTTTGGAAATCTTGCTCAAGTTACTTTGACACAGATAGTGCTCTTTAACAGAAAAAGACAGGGGGAAGTATCAAAAATGGAGCTCCAGACATTCACATCCAGGAATCGTACGGAGTTGAATCCTGACATTATGATGGGCCTCACCGAGTTTGAAAAGACTCTTACAAAGTACTTTAACAGGGTTGAGATTCGGGGTAAAAGGTCAAGGATGGTGCCTGTGCTTCTCACACCTGAAATAATAATAATAATATATTTTATTTATAAGCGCACTTTTCATTTGCGTAAACAAAACTCAAAGTGCTACAAAATTAAAAAGGGTGAAATGATTGCTGCAATGAACTTACTTGTGGAAAAGAGAAATGAGTGTCAAATCCACACAGACAATGTATACTTGTTTGCACGCCCAGGTGGTCTTTCCCATTACAGGGGCTCTGACTGCTTTCGCAAGTATGCGAACCAATCTGGTGCGAAAAACCCAGAGGCACTCACCTCAACAAGATTGCGGAAACAAGTCGCCACTTTGTCCACAGTACTTAACCTCAAGGAAAACGAAATGGATCAACTTGCCACCTTTCTAGGACATGACATTCGTGTCCACAGATAATTCTACCGTCTTCCAGAAAGTACCCTGCAACTTGCAAAAGTCAGCAAGTTGCTGATAGCAATGGAAAAAGGAAGACTGTCTGACCTGCAGGGGAAAGGGCTGGATGACATAGAGATCAATCCTGAAGGTAACATCAACAACCAAAGTTCCTGCTGGATCTTAAATAATCTCTAATGTTCTCAGTCCCATACTAAAACCCTTCTTTTTTTTACCCTACCAGATGAAGTAAGCACGAGTGATGATGAAACTGGTGAAGAATCCATTGCTGACATACATCAAAACATAGGTAACCTGACCCCTTAATATAATTAAGTAATGAAAAAAGACACAGTTAATAGGAAACCCGATACAATTGTTAGATGTGCTGTAAGGCGTTACAGCGGTAAATAAATTACAGAAGATGGAAGACAATATCCATGAGAACAGTGCTGAATGATTTTGAATCATTGATAGCAGCTTTGTATAGGGATCCATTTCACTTTGTTAAAGGGATGTTCAGCCAAGTAAAGGAGGTAACCTTAAAGTTGTAAAGCAATATGTACTATAGCAAATAATATTTAGCACACTCACTCATATAGAGAAAAGAATAGAAGGATACACCTTCCTCCTGATATTAGGACAAGATAAGGAAACTCTAGCACAAGGAAGTTCTGTGTGTGTGGAAGGCTAATATGGAGGGTTGTGGTTCTGTGAGCCGGAGCTAACTGTTGAGCCTTCCCGAGGTGTCATGGGCCTAATGATGAAACGCCAGTGAAGAAAGGTGCCCAATTGATAACCCTAGTGATATGCTATCGGTAGATGTCCTACCTACCTTTACATTGTTTGTAGTGGCCATGTCAAGGGTTGTGTATTATATTATATTCTAATTTATCCTTTTAGATTCCCAGAAGAACACAACACTTCACTTGGCTTCAAACAAAGCTTCCTCAAAGTGCTCAAATGGAAAGCAAGGTAATAAGCACTTTGTATTTACATTACTCTACTACAAAAATGTATTGATCTTAAATGGATTTCTAAAAGAACATTTCTAGTTTTTTGTACAACTAATGTGCTTTACAGTACATGCCAACTTTTATCCATTCACACGCAAATTCATGCACTGATGGCAGAGGCCATGCTATCATTTAACTACAAACTATACTCTTTTCTATCATATCTCCCATTTTTCACTTTCACAGAGCAATTTTTCAAATACATTGTGTTTTGTTTCCATTTATGACAGCTGGGAAGATGAGAAGCAAGTGGACAGGTGAAGAGGTGAAGGCTGTTGAGCGGCATTTGTTTGACTTCATAACAAGCTGCAGAGTACCTGGGAAAAAGGACTGTGACTCCTGTCTCAAAGCAGAGCCAGTAGCTCTGAAAGACAGGGACTGGGTTGCAGTCAAGTATTACACCCACAACAGAATCATCGCCTTAAAAAGGAAGATTAATTCATAGGACTATAACATGCCAACTTGCTCTGTGGTACACTTTTTTTTTTTTAAATAAGATTTGTTGTTTATTAAAATGTTAATCTGTTGACAAGAATCCATGAGGGATTTTAATGTGTTTTATAACCTCCCTCTCGTTGTCACTTTCAACCACTAGAAGGTTTGAGATGATATGTTATACTATGTTCTGTCTCAACAAGCAATAAAGACACTAAAGAGAAAGTTGCTCATTCCTTTCAAACCATATCTACTTCACTGCCTCACACAATGGAGGATAGGGGGTAAAGTGGCTGGGTTGTGGGTGGTCTATTTTGGGTGTAAAAAAAGGTTGTTTTACAATTTATATGACCAAATAATTAGTTGTTAGGTTCAAAGTCGACAAACAATGTTTTTAAATTGTTGCCACTAGTCTTTATCATAGCACGGAAATGATGAACCCAACTCTGGCAACAATAATTCTCACAGACATCTTTTGTACTTCAAAAGCACTACATTTTGGATAGTTGACATAATCCTGTGAGTTTTAGTTGACTAAGAATTCTTTAATCAAAGATATTTCAAACATAAGTAATAAAGGCAAAGTTGCAAATACAGACTATTTTGTGTATTACTGGGTCTTCATAAGTCCCTTAAACTGGAAAATGTAGTGTGTATCTATAGGGTCACAATTCATATAAACATGAAATATCAGTGTTTGTTGCTAAGGGGCTCACAAGTCACATAAACCTGTAAATGTCCTCAGAAGTAGTATTAAAATCAGGTCTCCACAAAATATAGGATTAGACAAGATCTCAACAGATGGATGTCTTCCAAGAAGCATGGATATTAATTACTTTTATTCCCAGGTCCCTAGGACCTTTGGAAAGGCATGTCCCCATTTGTCACGTTCTTTTCACAAGTCCTGATATATCCTATAAACATGTATGTGTGTATGTGTGTTAATTGTTCTTAAGGGTAGGGGTAGGTCATTTTTGGAGAAACCAGTTAGAGTGAGAGTCTTTTGCAGTCAAACCGGGGGGGAAATCTGCCACTTCCTCACAGAGCCCCTCCTCCAACACACATGAACGCGCACATGACCAAAAGAGGGCACGAGATAAGTTTGTGCACAGGCTGTAGGCGTCTGAATCCCCCACAGATGCTGCATTCGTTTCTTGACTGACGCTCCGGACGGATGGCGGTAAGTTGTCACAGGCTGATTAAACCCCATTCGAGGCGTCTCTCGGACATTTTTCTTTTTTGAAAGGTGACTTGGTAAGTGGAAATGACTGTCTTTTTATTTAGTTTGAGCATATTTCTATCTTCACCTAATTCCATCCCCCACTATCTGCTAGCGTCATAGCCACAGGAAGGGGTGGAGAAAAGGGGGAGAGGTTGGGAGGGGGCGGGTAGACAGTCTCACGCATAACTTCAAAGAGACACCTAGATTAACATCAAAGGCTTATAACACACCAGTGTGAAGTCACACCTGCCTGTTATAACACCTCACATCAAAGGGCAAACACCAAAGGCTAATTATTCAACTCTGAGGGGCAGCGGCCATACATCATAACTTCAAAGAGTCTGCCTTAATCATCACCTAGATTAACATCAAAGGCACTACACAGGGGGGCTTTTCACACCTACCTGTTATAACACACATCAAAGGACTAGACAACAAAAGGGGTGTGAGGGGACAGGGGCCAGACAACACAACTTCAAAGAGACTACCTTAATCAACACATCAAAGAATTAGACAACAAAGGCGCTACCCAGGGGGCTTTTCACACCTACCTGTTATAACACACATCAAAGGATCTCGAACAAAGGGAGGCGGGACTTAGCTCATTAACATAATTGTACCCCCCTCACATAAAAGGATCTCGCTAGCTAATTTGCATAATTGGGGGCGTGTCCACCTGTCACTTTTCATGCATACTAATGTGATTGAAAGGTGATTGGTACTACTAATAGCCTGGTCAGATTAATAAGAGAAGGAGTTCAAACCACCGGCATAAAAGTTATAACAATAATCTGATTTTAATGGTAAAAAACACCAATACAAGTTACAGAGTACTCTGGACTCCCAGTTCTACTGCTGTGCGATACAGATATCGGGACCAGCCAGTCAGAAACAGGGGGCATTTTGCATGAATAAACAACAGTGTATATATGGACATATTTGGGGCGGAGATGTGTGTCGGCTCTTCCGTCCCATTTGACTCCTAAGCGAATAAGAGAGTCCGTGGGTAGGAGTTTGGGTCGGTTGCTCACTCCCCTAGGTGTTCTTACTGGTTGGATTCTCTTTGGGTCGGGCCCAATACAGTGAATCAGAGTTCTGGGAAAAAGTATTTTTCTTCTGAACAGAGCGCGAGAGCCTCGGAACTATACAAGGTCAGAATCACTTTTTATCTTGCACCTGACTTCACTCCTTTACTTTCCCAAGGAAGATTTCACACAAACTATTCCTTCCCAAACAATCAAACATTGTACACAGATATATTGATGCTTGAGATTATATTGGCCCCAGAAAGAACCTTGAAAAGAACATGTGTGTGTGCTGGTGAGAGGAGGTGTATGTGTGTGTGTGTGTGCTGATATCTGGGTCAGTGAGTGTAGATGAGCAAAGAAATATGTGTGTCTGCTGGTAGAAAGAGGTGTATGTGTGTGTAGCCAACACACTCTCACTCCCTAAGCGTCCAGGAGCGACGTTTGGTCAGTGTCCGTGGCGTCCAGTTGTGACGCTCCTAGGCTCCTTCAGCGTCATAAAGGGACGCAAATAGCTTTCAACTGATTGCAATGTATTCCCATCTGCGGCGGGATTTGACGCTCATGGAAGCACGGCATTCGTTTGTGTCGGCTGCCCTTAAAGGCAATGTGAGCGTCCATTCCCATTGGATAACGGAGAATTGTACACCCGGAAGTAAGTATTCCTCTTACTGTCGATTGATTTTACAGTGATATCTGCACTACTCATCGACTAAAAAACACCAGATTATCCTTGTTAATTACACAACATTGATTGGTTCAAATTGTGTGCAATGCTTTTGTATTTTTCCCCTTCGATTCGGAGAAACAAATATTTTTTCGGAGTAAAGGATGGCAGAAGACACTACACTACCCACAATCCCCAGCTATCGTTTGGACTACACCATGTGCTCTGTTTGACAAACCCCGTAATAGTCCTCAAGCTCTGTGATTGGAGAGTGTGCTCCGAGGGTTACGCCGATTCTCAAACAGCACTTGAAATGGGATGGAACCACGGCAGACTGTCCAAAACTGGATTTGAACGGGTCCACCGCGTCCCCCACCCCGTCCCCAGAACTACACATGCTGGCTATTCTGTTTCGCAACATGTTCTCTATCTATGGCACGTCTCTACTGGGAGTTGTAGTTTTAAAAGACGTTTTCGTATTTCCCATAATAAGAAGTTGCCAGTATTAAACTGTGTACATCCCTGGAGGTTTAGGGGATAGGAAACACTCAAATTTAAAACATATAATTAATAAATGGGTGAAAATTGCTTGTGCCCATAATGGGCAGCATTAATATATATACACACATGCCAGCTAAGGTCAGAAGAGCTTTATTTAACAGCTGGTCTTATGTTTGTGACCCCTGTTGTTAATTGATAACATTACATTACATTAATTTATAAGCCTGAAACATGCACTTGTCAAGGTTCAGAGGCAAATATTGCAGTAGCCATCGATCAGCTTAAGATAAGATACTTTATTGATCCCAAGTTGGAACATTTGCGTTACATCAGCATGTGTAACAGTTGTAAATATGCAGTGGTGTTTATTTGTAAATCATTTAGTATAATCACACAAATTCTGTGTTTTATATTTAACAATTCTGTGTTCTTTATTTATTGATTGTTCAATACCTGACAAGGCCGGAGATTAAATATCTACATACATCTTATAAGAGTATAATACATTATATATAATATCAGTTAAAATAAGTGCTTCAACATAGTTAACATTGCTGGAGGTATGCACAAATATTGATAGATGTCTTGTGATGCACTATTGAGGAACCTGCGACCCAAGTTTTTCATTCAATGCAGAACTACACCATAGTTGTGTAGGCCTATATGATATGTCAATAAACCTTAGAAAATCTTGAAAGGGATGTGCAAAATAGTCATTATATACAGTCTTTAATTAACTATTAGTAGAGAATAACGAGTAATTAATATACTTTATAGGGATCCTATTAATATCTAATAATAAAAATAATGAAATTCAACAACATGCTTTAACCACTAGGTGTCCCTTTATATCAGCTCTGCACCGTTATGGTGTAAATACAGCCTATCTACCAATTGGATCAAATATAAAAGTCAGCCGAATTAGTGTTGATACTGCAAGGAGACGTATTGTCTGAAAAGAAATGTAAGATGTTGTTTAATGGCTGATATATTTATGATCCACGTCACGTTTTCAGTTCCTCATGTTTGTCTAGAAGTCTTCTCATCAGGGCTCTATAAATACAGAACTACGGCAGATATGTAATATTTAATGCAGCCGAACCGTGTATTACAATGCCGTTATGTGATGACTTTCAAAGAGAAAAGCAAGCACACTCGGAATAAAGTATTATTTTTATTTTTTAAAATGTTTTCGGTCTGTTTCCGGTATTTGTTAATGACGATGTGCTGTGAGATGTGAGACTGGAATTGCACAGGGGAAAATAACGTAGGCTATCTTTAGATGCGGATTTTGTTAAACTAATATGTTTGCGCTGTGGACCAACATTATACATTGACGGGGAAGGGGGTAGCAATAAAGATAACACCATTAAACAGTTACACAACATAACAGAAATAATATCGATAGCAGCGTCCCTAGTAACAACGTCGCGATTTCCTGAAGTAATCTTCGTAATAACTAGCAAACTAAAGATCATGTACATCCACTGCACACATAATCTGAAATAACAACTCATATTTCTCGCATCAAATGATATCAAAACGCATTTTAATGGCCAAACTAACTTTAAAATAGGCATTTTCCACCGAGAATAAAACGAAGTTCGGCCA